AAATTAAGCAATCATCCCCAAGTCATAAAGGAGAGTCACATAAATTTACCTGAATCCAAAGCTGATATCTTATTCTTTATGTCTGAATGTGTGTATGTGAGTACGCACGCACACCCACACCCACACACACACACACACACATACTTTAAAAATGATCATTTCATTTACTCTGTTCCTAGAACACATCATTTTCTTAATCTTCAAAATATTACAACCGGAAAACACCTCAGCTATCATCTAATACAACAATTTCATTTTATAGACGAACACACTGAAGAATAGAAATGATAGTTGAATGACTTGGTCACTGGGAACAACTAGTGACCAAACTGGGAATAGAACCTCAGAGTCTACACTGTTTGGAAGTACTCCCTCATTCAAGGATACAATAATACAGTGATTTCCTGATCCTTCACAATAATTAACTTCAACCTTATTTTGTAATTTACTTTATGCCAGGCCAGTTGCCATGCTTTTCTCTAAACATGAAATGGGCAAAGGGTCTGTATTCTGGTTTTAATTTCCCTGATTGTGTGAGTTCACATTTAACTTTCTTCTTCAGATGACGGTGGGTCATTTAGTGTCCTTAAAAGCCAACAGTGTTATTACAACTTGACTCTGACAAATGCTTGCTCTTTGTCTCTCATCTTATCTCTTTGGGTCTCAGGAAGGCAAACCCTGGGAAAATTATACAAAAAGCCCCAAATATTTGGAGCCAGCATTGTCCTCACATGTGCATGCTTATAGCATTTCTCTTCAGTTTTAGTCTTTCGTTAGCCCACAGCTCGCTAATTAATTGGAATTTTCCAGGGCTTTTGTTGTTGTGACAAAGTTGAACAATGCAAAATCTCATTCCTTCTTGTTAAAGAGGTCCATCCACCCTCCAAAGAGTAGCACAAAGATGGCTGGGATAAGAGGGAGGATTAAGTCAACTTTGAAAGGATCAGACTTCATTAGTTCCTGGGCCCCCCCTCCCATCTCCACAGCTGCCTTCATCTTCACCAAAACTATTTTATGGAAAGCAATATCTTAACCATGGTTTTTATCCAAAGAAGAGGCTGCTTAGAGGGCATTATGTAGGATCTAAAATTAGATGGCAAAGAACATCCTATAAGCATAGAATAAACAATATTGGGAGGCAAAAAATACTGTACTAGGTGAGAGGGCTATTTAAGGACAAAAATTCATGGATCGGAGAAGAAGGGAGTAAAACTTAAATGAACACTGCCAAGCATGACAAAAATCAGACTTAAAAGGAACAAAGAGATGCTTAATCTTGGCAATACATAGCGCCACTTAAACCAAAGATCGGAGAAGGCAATGGCACCCCACTCCAGGGCTCTTGCCTGGAAAATCCCATGGACGGAGGAGCCTGGTGGGCTGCAGTCCATGGGGTCACTGAGTCGGACACGGCGGAGCAACTTCACTTTCACTTTTCACTTTCAGGCACTGGAGAAGGAAATGGCAGCCCACTCCAGTGTTCTTGCCTGGAGAATCCCAGGGACGGCGGAGCCTGGTGGGCTGCCGTCTATGGGGTTACAGAGAGTCGGACACGACTGTAGCGACTTAGCAGCAGCAGCAGCAGCAAACCAAAGATAGCAGAGCATCTGGAGACTAGAAGTAGGGAAGGGAAGTGATGAGAGATTAATTCTTGATTTTGCTCTTGGTTTCCTTTTCAAGGTATCATAGTATGGTATCATGCTATGGTTTGACACACTGGGCTACTGAAACTTGTGGAAATCTTCCTGGGCTGTGTCTTATCCACACTGTGAGAGGCTCTAGAGCAATTCTGCCTTTCATGCTCCATGGATACAGGATAAGAAAGGCTGAAGGGGCCCTCAAACATGGTGAGGAAGCCATTTCCATCATCCCTGCAGAGTTCCTTTTGATATAAACATCTACTTGAATGTCCAAAGCAAAAAAAAAATCATCATACGTTTTTTAAAACTGCATTCTTTTCCACAGAGGGAAAAAAAGTTTTCTGATTGATTTCTTTATAGGTAAAAACAAACAATATTTTCTAATATCCAGACCTACACATTACGACATGGAACTACACTTTCACTGCTGCAGAACCTGGGAGACTTTCAAAATATCTCCCCCTCCAGGCTGATGCCTGACAGGCAACCACTCCAGTCACCTAAGATGCCACACAGCTTTGAACAAGTTGAGTATGAGGTGTCTGCGTAGAAATCCAGATAAAACTACAAAGGCAATTGGAAGGGAGAGCCAGGAAACAGAGCTAGAATAGAGTCTTCAATGCAGGGAAGATTGTAAGGGAATGGAAAATCAGGAAAAGGATAGAATTCTGAGAACCTCCAATGTTTAGGGCTACAGGCCAAAAGGAATCTGCAATGAGAAGAGAAAGTGTCTCTGGGGTTGGGGATGGTGTGAGCAGGAAGGACCAGGGTGGGAAGCCATAATATTTAAAGACACAGACCCTGGAGTGAAACCACTTGGCTTCAAATCTGGGAACAACTGCTTACAGGACTTGGAACCCCAAATAAAATATGGAATTTCTACATATTTCCATTTCCCCCTCTGGAAAATGGGGGAAACAGTAACACATCATATAGTTCTAATAGAAAGTACTTGATACAGTGTCTTGCTCATATTAAGCATTCAAAAAATTGATTACCCATGATTAATATGTTTATAGGAATAGATACAGAAGGTTATGGGAGACTAAGAGCATCTCAGATCCTTTTCTAGAACTACTCTGAATACATTGAAGAGTAGAAAAGAAAGCCTTGGCCCAGAAAACAGAGGGCAGAACCCCATAAGGCAAAGAGAGAACAAAGTATAAGGAAGATGGGGCTCAAGAAAACCTTTACCAAAAAAAAAGAGGATCATGATGTTCAGTTGCCTAAGAGGTGATATGGAGAATAAACCATACAAATAACCATTCTTACAACAATGGCAAGTGAAAGAGAGCTGCACTAGAGATGTGAGGTCAAGATCTGACTGATTGCTGACAAATGGCACCTTTTAGAAAAAGTTCCTTCTCCTTCCCAAACTTCAGTTTACAAAAATAGCCAATGAATTCCTCTTCCAGTTCAAACCATTTATGATTTGAATCTATATTCTATAAGTTAGCCTAAGGGATTCAGTGGCTACAAGCAAAAGCAATAACACTAGTGAAGACATTAGGTATCAAAGGAAGCAGAAAACCCAGAAGTTACCTGAAGTTTAAGAAGTAGAGACAGCCATACCTTCCCTTCTTTTCCCTCCTCCATCTGCCCCAAAACCAAAGATAAGAAGAAAGAAAGGATAGAATCAACGGAATCAAGGCTGAAACCAAGCATCATTCCTGTTCATCAGTAACTTCAACAAAGCTTTTGGAGGAGAGCCAGAAAGTGGATATAAGAAAGACAAAAATGCAGGTGACGTTGATTTAGGTAGAAAATCAGAGGTAAACCCATTAACATTGGATCCTAAAGGACAAAGACCATGCCTAATCCACAATCCTCATTGTACCATTCAATCAAATAACTCCCAAAGTGAAGTGAATCACCCAAGAGCAAATGTTAGTGACGCAAAGCTGGAACAGGAGATCACGTTCGCTTACTCAGTTCAGTACCACAGAAGTATGCAAGCCATGGAGGTATGCATCTAACTGGTATGCATCAAATTCCAAATTACAGCATTTCCTAATAAGAGGTTTTATGTGGGAGGTAATAGGAATAATTGACTACAATTGCTAAATTCTTGGGAAATCATTGGATTTCCCCATTTTCGTGGGAAGCTGAGAGGACAAACAGGAAAGGAAAATAAAATACATTAAGCCCTAGCTACATGCTGGACAATTTGCTAAGTAATCTCTTGTACATTCTCATATACCTCATGACTGAGTCTCATAGGTTCTGAGCTCCTTGAGGAGAGTAACTATCTTATTCACCCATGAACGTCAATGCTTGATAAAGTACTTGCACACAGTAGGTGCCCAATATATGTTTGCTGAATGAATAAGATATTCCTGGTGCACAAAGATCAGAGATATTATGTATTCAAGATGGTTATGTTTGCTAGTAAAAGCAGCAGCACTGGAATCTGAAGTTGAAGTTGGGATTATCTGAGCCCATAGTACATTTGGTTCCTTTACCCACATGAGCCACTTTTCATAAACTTTTCTCTAATCCCAAGAAAAACACTTATTTTCTAACAGATGCAGTGGCTGATTTTTACCATGCATATGGCTTTTCCATCCTCTTCTTTAAGTCCTAGGTTGTTCTCAGAGTGTTTTTTCCAGATGCGATTTTTGGTCTGGCTACTCCTCTCCGATGGCCAAGCACTGTCAGTATCCCTAAGGGTACTGACGAGAACACGCTCCCAGGGGCCCGGGGCAAGGAAGCACAGAGCAGCCGGAACGGCATGCTGGTCCTGGCTCCAGTGTAAAGGCTGTTCCCAACGTGTAGAGATAACGTAACTGGCCTGGTTAAAGGCATATGCGATTTTTGGTCTGGCTACTCCTCTCCGATGGCCAAGCACTGTCAGTATCCCTAAGGATACTGACGAGAACACGCTCCCAGGGGCCCGGGGCAAGGAAGCACAGAGCAGCCGGAAGGGCATGCTGGTCCTGGCTCCAGTGTAAAGGCTGTTCCCAACGTGTAGAGATAACGTAACTGGCCTGGTTAAAGGCAACCTATCCCTCCCTCCTTGCTAGCAAAGGATTCAAATGAAAACTCAGCAAGTTGGAGGTGGGAGGGGGGATCGGGATGGGGAATACATGTATATCCATGGCTGATTCATGTCAATGTATGACAAAAACCAGTACAATAATGTAAAGTAATTAGCCTCCAACTCATAAAATAAATAAATAAATAAATAAAACTCTGCAAGCAAGTCAGACTAATTGTCTTTCTACTTTCTCTCTCTCTCTCTTCCTTGCCAAAGCATCAGACCAGATCACTGTTGTAAATGACTTGCTAAAGCATATCCAAAACTGAAGGGTTTTTTTTTTCTAATTATATATGTGTGTGTGTGTGTGTCATTCCTTTCAGATATTTTTTAGTTGAAGCTGTTAACTGGACTCTATTCATCCAAGAAAACCCGAAGAAATGGATAATGATTCAAAACAGACTACATCTGAACAGTTCTGTACATTATATGCAAAGAAATGTTCCCACAACAAAGTCACTAAATGACTGTCATCATGTCTGAATAGAGGAATAAAACTGAATTGTGATAAAAGCGAGTTGTTTAAAGGATCTTTAGCTCATGTCTACCCAATTATCCTGCACATTATGTACTGAACAAAGGATCCTGATGCTCAGAGTATTAAGTAATAGAAACATTTTGAGAAATAAACCAACATTTGTACTTTAGGAAAGATTTATGTATCATTTTCTGATTTTATGAGCATCAAACTGTCCTCCAAACCTTTGAACAGTGTCAAATTTTCTTCTGTGCTTATTCTCCTTTACTGTGTTGGGACGCCCTCTGATACATTAAGCAAGAAATTCTACGGAAATACGATATAAGCCTTGGTTCCTAGTTAGGTCTTAGTGAAGTAAAGCCACTCAGTCGTGTCCAACTCTTTGTGACCCCATGGACTACACAGTCCATGGTATTCTCCAGGCCAGAATACTGAAGTAGGTAGCCTTTCCCTTCTTCAGGGCATCTACCCAACCCAGGGATTGAACCCAGGTCTCCCGCATTGCAGGTGGATTCTTTACAAGCTGAGCCTGTTCAATCACTGAAAAATCATTCTTTTTAACACAGATTCTCTAACTGGTTTATATGACCCAGATTTACTAGATTTATTTATTTAGAATTTAGAAGATGAAAATCACGGTAGCACTGTAGGAAGACATATGTTATTTAATTTATAAATGATGAGTTATTTAAACAAGCTTACAGTATTCTGATATTTTTTCCTATGGGATCAAAGATCATCAGCACCTTTTTCAATGAGGAAGGAGGAAGGAGCTAATTGTTCTTATTCTTGGCATCTCCAACCCCAGTTAATCGTTGGCCAAGGTTCTGCTGCTGTCAAACATTGTCTACCAGTAGCTCTCTTTGTCTCAGTCTCATAAATGAGACCTCTACAGCTTGGCATACACAAGGAAACCATAGAGAATAACATCAAGATTTCTACTTTGCATTCACTGACTTAAAAATAAAAATAACATCATTAGTAGCCCCAGATTCTGGAAGTTACTAAACAGCTTTGAAAGCCCTAAAAAGTTTACCAAGGCTTTCAGATAACTCCATGGTGGTCTCAGAAATGTTGTTTTGGTGTAGAGAAACAAAAAGAACATGGGAGAATGAGCTAAAAGATCTGGGTGCTAATCTCACAGTTGTCACTGATGTGTGATCCAGGATTTTCTTTTGCTATAAAGGACACTGGGATAATTGGCAAAATCACTGAGGTCTATATACTAGATAACAGTATGGATCAATATTAATTTCCTGATTTTGATAATTGTAATGCAGTTATGTAAAAGAATTTTCTTGTTTTTAGGAAGCACACATTAAAGAATTTAGGAACAAAGGGACACCCTGTCTGCAACTTACTCTAAATGGTACAGAAAAAAAAATGCAGTAAAAACATTTGAGAAATCTGAGTAAAGAATATAAGGAAAGTCTTTATACTATTCTTGTAACTTTTCTAAGTCTGAAATTATATCAAAATAAAATATAAAATAAACCATAGGTGTATAATCAGCAATTGGTGAATAGTCACAGAATGCTAATCTAACAGTATCTTCATATACAGGGAGAGAGAGAATGATGAGTTTCAAATGGAATCTTAACAAGTAGTAAAGATATGAATCAGCAATGAAATGATATGAGGGCCACTCTTTTGAACAGATGGGTGGCAGCAGGACTGCCAGGAAGACCAAGCAAGTTGGTCTGGCTAGGATGAGGGAAACTGGGCTAGTCCACAGATCAGTTTTGCAACACCACATGTGAGGATGCCACCAAGGTATGAGACCCGGGGTTAGCGCACCCTCCCAGCCTGATAAAAAACCTCTAATGCAATATGACACGTACAGTGTATTAAAGTCTTTGAGATAATCATCTAAGGGCATGCACATCTTGTTCTCCAAGCACATACCCAATACAACATGCCCAAGATCAAGTACTAGATGCAGTCAACACAATGCTCTAACCCCAATGTAGGAAAGTCTCATTTGGGACTAAAACATATAGTAGAACTCCTTTCCACACTCTGCAAAGTTTTCAGAAAAATACCCATGTTCTGTCCAACATCTGTATGCTCAGGGTGTGTGTTTTACTAGTAACTACCTAAATTCATGTAAGCAGGAACTTTCGAAAGACTTCCACTATAAATACTAAGTAAAAATCATGAATCTCATAACTGGGGATCACATACAGAGTCAGGCAAGGATCACAGTAAAATAGAAAATGAATTGATCAATTAATAACTTTTAAGGAATCATATACCTAGAACTGTGTTCATAGTACATATAGATCACACAAATGAAGTCATGTAAAAGTGAGCAAGCTTTTATCTAAGGATAAGATTTATCACCACCCCTGTACATGGTGAATGCCCTTTTATTAATATCACCTGTAAGTCATATTTAGCATACCAGACCTTCACTCCAGAAATGCTATGACTTTCCGTCATGGAAGGGGTATTTATTACAATTCAATTCTGCAGGGATGAACATGACAATACACATATAAGTACAGTATTCACCAAAACTAGATAGAGATAAAAGAGTTCTTTTTATTCACTAAAAGAGTTTCAAGAATAGCTTAAGTTAAGCCTTCAAAAATGAAATGTGTTGTACCCAAGCCTAGTAAGAAAGACTCTACAGAAGCTGCTTAGAAAGAGATTAGATTAAAATTTAACCTATTGCATTCTGTTCTTTACCTTAAAAGAAATTATAAGCTGTCTTCGGGCTTCCATTTTTAGTGTTAAAAAGGGAAAGAAACAGATGGAATAAACCTCATCTGCTTAATTTGAAAATCAGATGCAGACTTCAAAATTTGGAATAAGCAAAGATTCTTGCTGTTTCATTGTTTTAAACTTTAACCATCTGAGACAAAAACTGCTTACATCATCCAATGTGGCCTTTGATGCATTGATAAGGTATCATATAACACAAAAATTTATGATAAAAGCAGTCATATGGAAGAAATCTAAGATAGTTTGGACCCTTTCTTTTAGTATAGATTAAGTTTAAAACTGGGTCAACGGTGTTTAGATGTTGCGGGTTTTCAATGAGTCTAATTCGGAACTACAGTACCACACAAAAACAAATGCCCAAATGTCAACTGACTCAAAGATTAGAAGACTAGAGAGGGCTGGCTTCTAAGGAAAAAAATTTTTAAGGGAAATCAATAATCAAAGTTGAGAAATCTGTGTGTTTTGTTTGTATTTAAGGAAATAATGACCAAAGAGACATTTTTATCCCCAAAATGAAGAGATTTGCTAAATATTTCTTTTTCATAAGATGTTTCTTTTATATCAGGTACCTTGTATTTAAGGGTATGTAAAAACTGAAGATTAGCTTTAGCTCCAAATGTTAGGATCTGAGGGAAAAAAAAATTGTGAACCCAAAATGAATCACATTCAGGCTTGGAATCAATCTGCATAAATATATATTTTCTGACTTACTTGGAAAATCTTGTATTTGCATCTGCCTTTCTTACTATCAATAAGCTTTCTTTTCTGGAGTAATGGCTAAGCTCCAACCCTTAATATATACAGATTCTTAGCTATCTCATTCCTAAGACTAAATCGGGCGCTAACAAGGGTGTCAGATTATCTGGCCCACCAAGGTCATTCAGTGCCCAAACTGAATAACTGATATACCACAAGCAGTTTATCCCAGTGAAAATATAGACTTGATTGTAAACATCTAAGACTATCCCAAATCCCAGCGTGACAGTATTTTCAAAGTGCTCTTTCATAGGGCTATTTAGCACTTTCTAAAATATCTCAGAATCCTCCAAGCGAGGCTTCAACAGTACGTGAACTGAGAACTTCCAGATGTACAAGCTGCATCGAGAAAAGGCAGAGGAACCAGAGGTCCAATGGCCAACATCCGCTGGCTCATAGGAAAAACAAGAGAATTCCAGAAAAACACATACTCCTGCTTCATTGACTACACTAAAGCCTTTGACTGTGTGAATCACAACAAACTGTGGAAAATTCTTCAAGAGATGGGAATACCAGACCACCTGACCTGCCTCCTGAGAAATCTGCAGGTTAAGAAGCAACAGTTAGAACTGGACATGGAACAACAGACTGTTTCCAAATCAAGAAAGGAGTACATCAAGACTGTATATTATCACCTTGCTTATTTAATTTATAGGCAGAGTACATCAGGCAAAATGCCAGGATGGATGAAGCACAAGCTGGAATCAAGACTGCCAGGAGAAATAACAACAACCTCAGATATGCAGATGATATCACCCTTATGGCAGGAAGCAAAGAGGAACTCTTGCCAAAGATGAAAGAGGAGAGTGAAAAAGTTGGCTTAAAATTCAACATTCAGAAAACTAAGATCATAGCATCTAGTCCCATCACTTCATGGCAAATAGATGAGGAAACAATAGAAACAGTGAGAGACTTTATTTTGGGGGGCTCCCAAATCACTGCAGATGGTGACTGCAGCCATGAAATTAAAAGACACTTGCTCCCTGGAAGAAAAGAGATGAGAAACCTAGACAGCATATTAAAAAGCAGAGACATTACTTTACTGACAAAGGTCCATGTAGTCAAAGCTATGGTTTTTCCAGTAATCATGTAGGGTGTGAAAGTTGGACCATAAAGAAGGCTGAGCGCCGAAGAACTGATGCTTTTGAACTGTGGTGTTGGAGAAGACTCTTGAGAGTCCCTTGGACTGCAAAGAGATCAAATCAGTCAATCCTAAAGGAAATCAACCCTGAATATTCATTGGAGGGACTGATGCTGAAGCTGAATACTTTGCATCAGGTCAGCTAATGTGAAGAGTCGACTCACTGGAAAAGACCCTGATGCTGCGAAAGATAGAATGCAGGAGGAGAAGGGGACTACAGAGGATAAGATGGTTGGAATGGATCACTGACTCAATAGACATGAGTTTGAGTAAGCTCCAGGAGATGGTGAAGGACTGGGAAGCCCGATGTGCTTCAGTCCATGGGATCACAAAGAGTCGGACACAACTGAGCGACTGAACAACAAAATATCAACTCCATAGCGTTACCTAGGTTTGAATTTTGGTAACAAACCTGATATAAAAGTGTTTGGAAAGAATGAATGAATATTGAATGAAGGTAATGTGCTCTCCACAGGTAAGGGTAATAAGACAAAAATCACAAGAAAATCACTAGGAAAAAAGCTCAGGCTAGGCAATACTTATCCCCTCTCTCTGTTAGAATGATCGCAAGCTCTTTGCAAGCAGGGCTGTCTTCATCAGGGGAAATGCTCAAAAATGCCCTCTGAGATTAGACAGATGCTCCAAGTGAAGAGGTCAAGGTCTGCTTTTTATCACATAGGAAAGTAGGCAGAATGCTTGGTTGCTCTTTAAACTTTCTCAAAGAAGTCAGAAATCCTCTCATTTCTAACTATTATCTCTGTATTTTTTAACACGATGCGGACTGAACAAAACCACTGGGGGCCACATTCTGCCTGGAGTATCCTTCAGTAATATCCCATCGAAATTTTTCTACAGGTCAGTAATAGCTCACTGCTTATTTTTTCCTTACAGTCTGGCAAAGGATGGGAGGTGGGGGAGCATACCAATATCACTGAAGAAATAAACCAAAAAAAGAAGTACAACTGAGAAAACTAAGTTTGGGTTTAAGTTGCTAAATTCCAGTAAAGGCTCATACAATATTAAGTCCTTAAGACCTTAATCTCAGGGCTGCGCTGTGTTTTACGCAGTGCTTAGTCACTCAGTTGTGTCTGACTCTTTGCAACTCCATGGACTGTAGCCTGCCAGGCTCCTCTATACTGGAATGGGTTGCCATGCCTTCTTCCAGGGGATCTTCCCAATCCAGGGATCGAACCCAGGTCTCCCATATTACAGGTGGATTCTTTACCGTCTGAGCCACCAGGTAAGCGCAAACTCAGTAACTATGCTCCAACTTCAGACAGCAATTTATTTTCTCCTATTTTATCACCTGCTTTCCCGTCTAACTTTGCCCCTAACTCTTCCTATTTATCATGTCATATACATCTTCTTTTCTTTTTGTAAACAGCTTCAAATTCTCTTTGAAAAGATGTGGGGCATAAGTTAAGTTTTTAAAAAGCAGTCTTTCAGATGTTCATAATATTCTAATTATAGGCAAGTATATTACTATATTTAGGAGCAAGATATTTTTGACACACAAAGTGATCCCTGAGGGGTGAGATTTTTCTGCAGTAAAAATTGTTACTGGAAAACTCTATATCCAGAATTTTCACTGAAAAAATCTGGAAGATCCTTATTTCAAATGATTTATGTCCTTGAGCCTTTAGCAAAATAAGATACGAATTCCAGTCTGAGTGCCCAGTTAAAACACACACACACATATTCAAGCATATCCATATAGAAAAAAATACAAATTTTTGAAAAACCCTTAGATTTCCACATCTCTATCTCAGTTTTAACCCCATGTTTCAGTACATTTTGGCCTCTGTAGGAAATTCTACATAAGTAGATGATTTCATGAAAACCTTTTGCAGTAGGGAACTGTCTCTGGAAGAAAACGCAATTAAAATAATTGTTTGCTCCTACAGAATAAATGTAGATACAAATAAGCAAAAAAAAGCAAAAACATGTGACTTCCTTCATATTACAATAAGATTCATTAAAGTTCTTAATATCAGCAAATTAAATAGGACTCCTGTATTAAATATATTTAGATAACCTGTGAATTTCAGCTCAAAAACATTACTTGGACATGTCAGGGAAAATATATACACAAATAGGTAATTTTCAATTCACTCATTTAAAGGAAAAAAAAAAAACAAGTTCCAAAATTCCAAAGACAAAGAGCACACCAAAAAACATATAAATGCTTTCAACTTAGAATATTTAAATCAGAGTATAAGAACCACATCCTGTTCTAAAACAGTATCTCAGTGAGGGTTATGAGAGGGAAAAAAGAACTGGATTAAGCAAAAACAATTAGTATGTATAGATCATAAATTATTTAACCGACATTTTTATAAATCTACCATTAGTTTGCTTTTTATTGCATATGCTAAACAAGCAGATGCTACATCTGTAAACTGTGAATTAACCTCCCTTTTTAATTAATTGTTCCTTGGGAATTACTGGCTTTTAAATCCCATGCTGCAGTTGCTTTCAGAGATGTATGCCGATCTTGCATCTAGGTTCCCAGGCTATGTTCCATGAGGCAGTAAACATAAACTGAATTTTTAATTACTTAATGATTCATTTGCATTTGACATATATTGGCATCTGACTTGGTTTGATTTTAGGCTCTTCCAACATGAGCCCTCACATCTGCAAGAATCTAGATCTGACCGTCTTCACAGCAAATATGGCTGGTGGCATTTGCAGGAGGGAGATGACTCCGAAACAGGCCAAGGACACAAAGGAAAAGGAACAAATGAACAACGCACCAGCAGTGGGGACCCTCCCTAAGCACCTGGTCTGTACTCAGCTCTGCTTTCTTTTAAAGATCAGATAATCCAAACAGGGGGTTTCCTCGGGAATTACTTTAAGGCCTTTCTGGATGGTCTATTCATATCCAAAATTCTCTTGCTAACTGAACCTTAGAGTTCTTCCATTAGAACCCCTTGCTTTTAGCTCAATGCCTTCTCATTAAAAGCAAATGTACCTAAGAAAAGTAGGAACAAAAGCGGTTAATACCGATATTTTTTCCCAGAATGAAGGATTTGACAGCAGTTTTCTGAAAGAGTTAAGAGGCAAATAGAGAGATTTAGGGTAATGGGTCCTAGGTGGATGGAGGCAGACTTAGGAAACTGAAAAGAAATGTCTCCTCCACAGTTGTGGAACTCATTCTGTTCTAGGTGCCTTCTCCTAGTCACAAATACAGAATAAAAAGCTGGACCTCCAGCTACTGAAGACAAAGGACTGCAATTTTTATATATCCTCTAAGACACACAGGCTAACAAAGTTTTTAGTCATGTCAGTCCACAGGTCCTGAAAAGCAGAAGCTGCCATTTGTTGTTCTCTTGGAGTTGTCAGAATGATACAGCCATCTAGGACTATCCTGATTCTCAGGATTATATCTATCCAAGTCCCCTAAGTATTAGATAAGGAATAAAAATTCAAAGCACACTTTTCCCTTTATATAACTCCCAGAATAAAGGACAGAGGCCTGGAGTAAATAAAGCAATGACATAAACACAGACTGAAGGTTTCTCCCACTTCAGGGCTATGTACTATGCTCGGCATATCACCTGTCTTTTCTTGTTTTAATAACACCATAAAAAAGATATCATTCTCATTTGACAAATGAAAAAAACTGAGGCTCAGAGAGTTTCCAAATTCAGTCAAAGTCACATAGATAGGAAGTGACATAGCCAGAAGTGACATCCAGGGCTGCTCATTTTTGTGAGCTAGAAGAAGTTGTGTTTAAGTTGCTAAATCCAAATTGAACCCCCACACTGCCATTATATTTTCCCAAACATAAACCCAGAATTCCTTGATGCTAAAAAGACTCAGGGAGTAATTGTTGCCAGCAGAGAACTGAGTGTGCCAAATGACAAACGACACGTGAAAATCTCTTCTGTTCACAAAACCAAAACAACACAGTGGAAGGCAGGCTCTAGCCTTTTCCTCACTCCTGGTTTATATCAGAAAATAACCCCAAACCAAGATTTTGGTGGCACTTTCAACAGAATTTGCAGGAAGAGAAAAAACTAATTTCTCCTCCTCTTACAAAAGTAACACATGCACTTTGTGGATAACTGGAAAAATATTTCAAAAGCCAAAAAATAAATGAATAATCATTCATAATCTCACTGCCCAGAGATAATCATAGCATTGTAGTCTATTTCTCCCTAATCCTTTCTCTGTTTCTATTCATATTTTGAAATCATTACAGTCTATAGTTTATATGAAGTCTATTCACTTAACTGTATGTATCTAAAATTATTTTAACACTTCTCAAGAAACAACTTGTAAACTTAGTTTTAATACTTCACCATACAGACATTAACAGTTAGCTTAACTGTTTCTTCACTGTTATGCATTTCACGATTAAAAAGCAGTGAAAATTGTTTCAAAGAACATTTCTACCCACATTTCTTCTACTATAGTTCAAATTATCTTGTTAGCATCAATTTCTAAAAGTGAGTTGTTGGGCTATATGGGGAACAAGAGTCAGTACCTTTAAATCTCCATATAGCCTAGTTATTCCCCAGTCAGAATGTACACATGGATCAGTCAAAAGGGATGTGGTTTATCAACATCTGCTGGGCTGCAACAGTGCTTACCAGGTGAAAATGTGAATTCATCTTAAATATTTTTCAAGCTCTCTATGTAAATATGCCTCCCCCCGAATTTATAACCCCAAACCACAAACTGAGAACTGCAATTTCAACAAATTCTGGTTATCCACTATTATCACTTTTGACAATTTAATTGATAAAGGAAAAAAAGAGAAACATTGCTTTCATCTATATTCTCAAATTCAGTGAGGGTGAGCATTTTCTAAAAAAATGCTCTTTATGAGCTCTTCATGCCTCTGTCTACTAGTTGGCAGTTTATGGCCTTGGCTTCCTTTCCATAAGGTAGAGTAATATAACAAAACAAGAGGTCCACAGACCAGGAGACATATTCTAGACCTAGGCATTGCCATTATCTAGGTTGAACACTTGGGACTAATCACTTCACACAGATCAAAAGCTTTAAAATTCTGGTTGACATGGCCAAGAGAATTTTACATAGAGCCTATTGTATAGAACAAACAAAAATGAAGATTCTTGGGTTGAAGCAAAGGACCTCACCTTCTTACACATGGCCCTCATAGCTCCTGAGACACCCAGAGGAACCCTAGGGCTCTGAAGAATAAAACAAAATACTATTGAGTTGATTGATTTCTAAGATCTCTTTGAGCTTCTATGAAACCAATCATTCCCAGGGTACAAAAGAAAGCTTTAAAAAACACACTAAGATTTGGTGAGCTCAGGAAGCCAGCATCCCAGAGGCCTAGTAAGAAATCTTCCTGTGGTAAGTGTTCCTGGTGAATCTGAGAGGTTATTTTTTTCTTTTTCCATGAAAATGCAGTTGGTGCAGAGAAAAAAAGCAATACTGAATAAACTATATAACAGGAAAACAGGAGTATTCCAAATGCTGAATGTTTCCAGCAGATGTATCAGCCATTCTTCAGAATTCACTAATTCCCATCACAGCTTGAGTCCTGGATGAGACAAATCAATGTGAAATATTTCTTCCTCGATTCTTCCAGCTGAAACTGAGAGTCAAAGAACGTTGATTATCTCTACCTTCAGGGAAATATAGTGATTTATGGCGCAAAGCTGGCAATTACTGCATCCTTTCTCAAAAGCTTCACATTTCAGTACATCTTTTCATGGGATTTTCTTATTCTTAAAGATACAGTCTTATTTCCAAGTGAACTAGAATGACTATGGTCACTTGCATAATTAAAGAAGGGTAGGCGGACTGGAAACTCAGGGGTGCTAAGCAAGATACCCCCACCCATAAAATTCTAGTCCTCATGACTGACATTGCCACAGTGCCAGAGTATCTATTCTCTCTTCTAAGTCACTTTTCTAAAAGATATCCTACCAAAAGAAAAAAAAATGGTGGCATAGGAGATAACAGGAATCATTAACACTAATAAAAAGTCTTTAGGTTGAGTAGAGACCAGAATCTTAAGGCAAAGAGACAAGATAAGGAAGAACTGGGGATCAGAGTGGAGATACAGAAAATCTGAAACTAGGAACATCCAGTGTCAAGACTGCTTAAAACAAAGAAAAGCTACTGAGTGTTGTTGAATTTTACCTGTTACATAGTTTTGCCTAACGCCTGTCCTACATATATCTTCAGTTCAGTTCAGTTCAGTCACTCAGTCGTGTCCAGCTCTTTGCAACTCCATGAATTGCAGCACGCCAGGCCTCCCTGTCCATCACAAACTCCCGGAGTTTACTCAAACTCATGTCCATCGAGTCAGTGATGCCATCCAGCCATCTCATCCTCTGTCGTCCCCTTCTCCTCCTGCCCCCAATCCCTCCCAGCATCAGGGTCTTTTCCAATGAGTCAACTCTTTGCATGAGGTGGCCAAAGTATTGGAGTTTCAGCTTCAGCATCAGTCCTTCCAATGAACACACAGGACTGATCTCCTTTAGGATATCTTAGGTATTCCAAATTTGTAAGCACATATAGTTCATGTTAAACAAATCACAGTTTAACCGTGATAAAATTAGGAAAATAATAATCTAAATTTCCTAAAGAAATTCACATGGCCTGATATACCATTTTCTAGTGTATAGAATTATTCTCAATATATTTTGATTTACAGGAAATCATTCACCAAAGACACTTTACCATTATCTAACCCTTATCAATTATCCATTAATAATATCAAAAGTCAGTAAGAAAAGAAACAAACATCTTTGAGGGTATTTAACATAAACAAACACCAGTTACTTAAATAAACAAGATTGAGGATGAGGTTTTACTATCTGAGTTTTTATTTTACAGTTTCTACCAACTTAAAAATAGATGTTTAAAGATAATATGAATTATTTAGGGCTGTAATTACCATGCTTTCTGTTATACAACTTGGCAAACAGCCATTCTGCAATCACAAACAGTCACACTTAAATCTGAGTTATGTATGGTGCAATAATTCACACCTTGGACATTGTTTCACCTCAGTATCTTACTGCTTCATTAAAGATGTTTATATTTGGATAGTTTGCAAATGTTCAGTATGAAGGACAGAATCTAAATGTGTGAACCAGACAAGAGAAATTTAATGGCAGTTTGAAAGCACTGGACTATTAATAATGAGCAAGCCAAAAAGTTACTCTTCCTTTCACCATTTAGAAGTCAGCCCTGGAGACATGCATATATTTTCTTTAAAATTATGAAGACACTATGTAAAACAACTTGTCATCAAATTATAAAATATGTGCAAGCAGTCCCAAACTTTCAAAGGTGTTCTATCCTAAAATTCCCTTAGCTATACGGACCTGTTCATCCGGGATAGTCCCGGGGTATTATTAATAGGGCCTCCTTCCACTCTCAAAAGTGCTCAGTTTGGATGACAAATTATTTGGAAATCCTACTTATTCAGTTTCTCTAGTTTTTAACCCAGGATGAAAATTCTCACAGAAAGAGAAGAAATATAAGCCCTTTTAAAAAAACCTATGTTTAAAATTAATTGTTAGCAAAAGAAATTAACTACCTGTGTAATAGAATTTCTACAAGAAAGCAGGTTTGAAATTCAAACTTGAATTTTTCCATGAGCCTGTGTCATCTACTTGGACCTCCAACTACATTCTTTTTGCCACTTGACAGATGCCTGATTTAGAGATTTCTCCAGCTCCAAGTTACCAATGATTACCTATGTCAAGGCTGAGCTGGAGAGGGTCAGTGAGGGGCAGAGATAGAGATCCTGGGACAGTGAACAGGATGGGGATGCCTAGGAGAGGGTGAAGTCTGGGGAGAATTGAGGTCAAAGAGTTCTGGAGCAGAGTTTCCTATCAACAGTGACTTCCCTGGTATCTCAGTGGTAAAGAATCCACCTGCAATGCAGGAGACGCAAGGTCAATACCTGGGTGGGGAGATCCCTTGGAGAAGGAAACCGCAACCCACTCCAGTATTCTTGCCTGGGAAATCCCACAGACAGAGAAGCCTGGCGGACTATAGTTAATGGGGTCACAAAGAGTTGGACACAACTGTGCGACTGAGCACACAAGCACACATCACACTCTTATCAGCATGATTTCCAAAACTATTTCAGTCCTACATCAGTGTTAACCCCACCCTACCCAGATATCTCTACCCTGATCCCCCATATAATCACAGGAAGTAGTAAGACACAAGGAAAGATTATGAGGTTCAGTCTCTTCCTAGCTCAGTGGGCACACTCAGGATGAGGAAACCTTCATATAAACTTTTAGGGTCATTTTGGGATCAAATGAAAATACTCTTTGTGACTTACTGCCCTGTATTGTACATAGCTGGTGCTCATCAAATGTCAGGACTGTCATTAGAAATCTTTTTCTGAAAATTTTCTCTTTCCAACTTTAATTGAGGTCTTTTCTTTTCAGTTTCATCAGAGAACATGCCTCCCTTCCTTACATAACTTTGTCCTACTCTCCCTTCCCTAAGGCAAGTTACTAGACTGTTATTAACAAAAAAAAAAAAAAAGGACCATAAATTCCTCCTGTCTCACACATAAAACTTAGGGGTGGCAGGAGGCAAACAGCTAGTGAACAAACTCTCAAACTTGTTTTGTTCAGATTTACCCAAGTACAGGTACTGAGGGCGGAGCCTCTGCTACTGTGTGTCTGCCACCATCTGTCTGGCTATCCAGAGCGACACGCCCTATTTTGGAGGTAGGGAGCAAAGCGAATTTCAAGTTCCCTTGGTTGTTGAAGCAGGTGTCTACCCCATGTAGGTAAGATGAGCTGAGTGAAGTGTCCAGGCACAGGTGGGTGTCAGTCCTGAACGGTGGGCAGATGCCTGGCAGTTGCCCACTCTGGGGATGCTTTCACCTGAAAGAAATGTGAAGGGCTTTAGGCATAGCTCTTCTCCACAGAAGCCATTCAGAATTGTTCCCTTAAGGATCTGTGGGTGTGATCAGGCCCCATCTGTTTCCTGGACACTGGGACTGACCACAGACGGTACTTACTCCATGCAGACACCCTTTTTTCCTTTATCCTCCATGATGCATGAGGCTTGCAGGCACCATCCTGAGGCCCACTTCAGTCTGCCTGCACTTCCCTATCTCTCTGAGCTCTGATGGATGACTGCTAGGTACTCCAGCACAACTATGCTCCATGATATCTAGGCTGCTATTGTCAGTGCCTGAAGAACTGTAGTGGATAGTTATCTTTTTTTTTGCCTAACCACCATCCAACTCTCATTCTTATATCTGGAAATTTTCCCACCAAGTATAGCCTTCTCTACCTATGGAAACAAAAGATACCATAAAGTTTCCCAGGCACAGGCAGTAACTTTCCCCCCACCAACAGGTGAAGTCTATGTACTCTTTGTATCTGTGCCTGGCTATGTGACTTGCTCTGGCCAATGGCGCGTTCACAAATATGACACAAGCAGAGGCTTGAAAAGCACTTGAGCACTGGAACTTATTGCTGCTGGGAACCCTGTGATCACTGTGCAAAGAAGTCTGGGCTACCACTCTTGAGATCAAGAGGCCACACAGAGAGATAGTCTGTCCCAGTTTCTCAGCTAAAGGCCCATGTAAGTGAGTGAAGAATCCTAGGTCATCAAACTCCTGTGAGCTAGTCCAGTCTAGGAGAATCACTCCACTAATTCACTGACTTGTGAGACATAAAAAACATGTACTGTTTTAAGCAACAAAGTTTTAGAGTGGTTTGTTATATTGCAGTAGGTAAGTAATAAAGTATAGCCTTCAAAGACACAAATGTATCCATTCTTTAAGTATACACATAGAGTGAGCTTTTGGCCTTTTAGGCTTATTAATATGGCTGTTCATTTTGGTCAGATTTATCAAATTGGTACCAACTAGCTGAATTCTGTAGACAAAGAGTTTAACTAAGCATGGAGTATTACAGATTTTTTTGAAATGTGAGTCCCTTTAGATGGGACATGTACCCTTCACTTCAGCCACTCTTTTTTTTTTTTTTCCCCTTTTTATAGTGTCTATTGTGTCTAGGGCTTTTTGTGTCCTGTGTGTGTGTGTCGAGATTTTTTTCTCTGCCCCCCCCCCAATTTTGACCATTTGCAGTAATAAGTTATGGGGCACCAGGTATAGAAAACTTGCTTCCTCTACACTTAGGAATATTTGATTATCAATGATAGGACAAAACAGAGATATGAACTGAAAAGCGGACTAAAACTGGGGGAGGTAATGAGAAGGTATAAAGACTTAAGAGTAGAACCAACATCTCAGAGACTGTTGGCAATCTAGAAGTGCTCACTCTTCATCTTCCTCTTTTATGTGGGCAAGTTTTCCCTGAGCCATGGTTTCCCCAGAGAAGAAATAAAAAACTAGACAATAGCTAATTACTCTGAAACTTAATAACTTAAAGCAACAATAAACATTTATCATTTTTCACAGTTTGTTTGGGTCAAAAATTTGGCAGCATCTCAGCTAGGCAGCTCTGATTTGAGGTCTCTCATGAGGCTGCAGTCATACGTCACTGGGGCTGCAATTATGAAAGACTTGCCTGAGCTGTACCTGTCTCTAGGGTGACTTACTCCATGGCGGGCAGGCTGGCACTGGCTGTTAGCGAGAGGTCACAGTTCTCCACACGAGCTTCTCCACAGGGCTGCTTCAGCACCCTTACCACATGAGGGCTTCCTTCAGAGTGAGT